TCCCTGCCTTTTGACCAAAGACCTTTTTTTTGGTGCTCTTATAAGAAGTGCAATTTGGAACAATTTGCCGGGGGAGAGTATGCATGGAACTTGCAGTAAGCCTCTGCTAGTTCTTCGACCGGTCGTCCACTTCTTCACAGGAACATCGTGGCTAGCATACCAGGAGTATTCGGTCACAGGTTCATCTTCAAACAGTTCAAACAGTTCGTTAACAGATTATCCAACACATGCCGAATCGTATGATTTATTTGTCATTGCCGTTACTAACAATTAATTATGCGAATCAGTGTACAGGACGAACAAAAGAAACTGGTGGCGATAATGACAACGATAATGATGACAACCTTAATAACAATAACAAACACAACAACAATAACAACAACAATGAGAAAATACAGGATGGGATAACGGTCACCGATAATCCGAACCGGTCAAGCGTGTGTAGTAGTGGCCCTTAGCGAGCATGCATCATCGCCAATGGGCGCACTGCCAATAATGCACGCACTTCGGGACACCACCATAGCAAAGGAACATCTACGTAAGGGAACACGTCCCACTTGAATGCCCGCCAGGACGGTGTGCCAAATTTACTCAAATTTACTAAAAAGTGCACTGAACCACGTCAAAAATGAAGTACGAAGCGATGAGCAAGCGCAAACAGGGAGGAAGATGAGATACTAGAAGAGGGCAAAGGCGCAAAATCGAAACGAAATGTGGCAGAAGTAAGCGAGTGAAAGCTGTTGCAAAAATATTAAAAATACCAAAACCCCTCTTTCTTGAGAGACGGAGGCACCGAGAAGTAGTAGCACGTATCAAGAACAACAGCCCGCTGGCAAGACTGTCGATGGCTCCCTCTTCCGAGGATTGCTTCAAATAAATCTGATGCACAACTGGCAACTGTGTGCATCAACCAGCCACCGACGCGAACAGAACGGACTGTAGAGGGACTAGTCGTCTAAGTGGCCTTTCCAGCTTCCTAGCTTTTGCGATTGCTGAGCTGAATGCTTTGCTGACAAAATTCCGAACATACACGTAAATATATGTAGACACACACACACACAAAAAATACAATGTATGTATGTATTCATGCATACGTATGTATGTATATATGTATGTATGTATGTATG